ATAGCGTAGTACAGTAGATATACTGGGTATATATTATGAAATAACACGTATGTACTCACAAACCCAGAGCCAGTAGATCGACTCACTTCATTAGGTGTATGTGGTTAAGGACCACATTCCTTCTTTGTTAAAGCAGGTACAAATAAATGCCGTAAGTGTAAAAATTATGTTTTATTATTTATAAAAATGTATATTAACAGTAAATATAAAATAAAATAAAATAGAAATAACACTTATTCGGCTATAGTCCAATATAGCTATTGGACTATAGCCGAATAAGTGTTATTTCTATTTCTATTTTATTTTATATTTACTGTTAATGGGCAGCCCGAGTAATACAGCTAATGCAGCCAATTGTACTATTCATCTACTGGATATCCCTTTGACCCCACACCCCCCTTCCCCCCAACCGTAAGTATTCAGCCAGACTAATGTCATCACATCTCATTCCCCCCCCGCCTTTCGGCCATGGTTTATGCCTGTTGGGAAAAGTTATAAGTTAAGCTTTGATTTTGGTATAAGGAGCTGTGGGTGTGCTAGTGACCCTGCACTCCCCTCCCTCCAATTATCACCAGTTAAAAGGCATGGAGGTCACCGGCCCCCATCATAGTTTCAGTAACATTCATGTCAGTTTAAATTTTTCCCCTATGTTCTTACTGCATCTACCCAACTTATGCATTGAGCAGAACATTGCTGTATGTAGGTAAATGTAGGAACGAACTAATGACAAAACACTATTAAATGATTAAGGTGTATGGGGCTCTGCTCTATGCCTTGAGGTACCATTATAAACATACTTGGTTAGATTGTTAGAGGCTATATTAGGGTTAAACATTCCACTTTCGCTGGTCTATCAGGGTCTCTCGTTTCAGAGAGAGTCGCTGATCAGGTCCAAACCCCCATCTTTACAACACGTAGGTCTCTTTCTACCTATAATATGCAAACTTACATTTTGTAATATGTGCACATTATTATAAAGAAAATTATAAAAAAAAACATGTAACTATATGCAGCTTAACTTAAACATAAGGTATTTATGTACTGCATGCACCTTGTGCCTATCTAAGTTACCTTTGTATGGGTAAATAAAAAGAAAAGGCGTATGAGGTTCTGCTCTATAACCTTTATATCTATAAACTCCGCTATAGATGTACACAGTTATAGCTTTAGAGGCTGAGTTGAGGCTAAGCATTTCAATTATGTTGGTCTGTGGAGGTCAATAACAGTATAAACAATTGCAAACATCTTTTGCCACTCATGTGCCTATCTACCTGTGTTACCCAGGCCCACATTTCATAACCTGTGCATATTATTATTCTGGAAATATAAGAAAGAACTTTACCTATATACTGTGTTCACAATGTGTTCACCCATTCTATGCAAAACCAGACATTGCAATATAAAGGGAAATGTAGAGAGAAAATAATGGTAAAATGTAACTATATAATGCTAAAAGAAAAGATGAGTTTCAGAGGATCTGCTCTGCGTCTGCTATGATTAAGCTGGGCTACAAACCTGTTTTGTTGTTTATAGTCTGCCTGTCCTGTGTTGCTGCAGAAGGGCTGCCATTACCTGTCCTGTGCTCATCGCCATATAAAAGTCCAGAGGATCTGGCCAGCACCTGTTGAAAGGGAGCAGTTGCAACATCTTGCCAGGATCAAAAAGTCCTTGTCAGTGTGGATTACATGTTGGCTATCCACTGTGTAAACCACCAGGCTGGTAGGAAGTTCTTATCAGAGGTTTAAGGGGTCGTCTGTAGCCTAGCGTTGCTGGAGATACATCCAGAAAGAGTTGGAGAGTGAAGCCCTGGCAGTTCACTTGACGTCTGAGGTATTTCTAGCAGCCTTCAAAATGTTCTCCTTATCTTGTGGTGGGCCTGCAGGTGGGTTCTGTGGTCTCAGGGTCCTGTGGACTCTCACAAATTCAATCTGGGTATGAAGCTCTCTGCCCAGTAGGTTGTTAAATATCTTCCTTAGTGTGTCTTGCCATTTTGATGTTGAGTCTTTGCCTTCAGGGAGTCCCCTGAGATATCGCTGTGACTCTTATTATCTAGGTCCGCTATGTGGTCAACTGGGCAGACAGCATGTTGTTGCAGCCCGCATCAAGTCATCCCACGAGGCCATTGAGGCCTTGGATATCATCCTGGTGTCAGGATTACTAGTTAATCCAGCACGTAGAATTGTGTCACACCTAGGACTAAAAGGTAACGTCTTACCGGGCCTTAGAATGCCGGATTAAACGTACCCAAGAATAGTCAGAATACTAGCCGAGGTCAGGGACACAGAAGGAGACACAACGATGAGGGAAAGCCAAAAGTCAGGGATACCAGAATACAGGGAAGTCAAACAAAGCCAAATTCAATAACCAGAAAATAAACGCTCAGAAGCATACTCGCGGACAACCACTAGAGAAACCACGACAGGGAAATGAGGAAAAGTAAAATTGCAATTAAATAAGCCCTTTACAAATCTGATTGGCTGAAAATCGGCCTTTGACCCCAGAACACCCGCGTGACGTCTCATACACGCCAACGTCGTCATCAACGTGGGGCTATAATTTTTCGTGGATCCACAGTGGCTGGCGTCCATCAGCATGTTGCAGGAGTCAGGTACACAGATGCATGGCCACTGAGCGCAAATATTGCAAGGTGAGGCTGAATATGTTACACCTGGATCAAGTGGAGGTAAGCACAAATAGAGGCCTGAAGCAGTGTGTTCACCTCTCATAGGTTGACATTTGTGGGTAAGGCTCTCACCAGGGTTAGCCAGTCTGAGGACAGTGACAATGGTGGGCCTGTCACTGTGTCAAATCTTGAGCCCAGGTCTGGCGTGGTCGTCGGGTTGGGTTTTTTGGGTTCCAGGGATCAATGGGTTCCTTTATTTTTCTGTGACTTCCCCATTATCTCTGTAGGCAGGGAGATTGTGCCAATATTTTTATTTTTAGGTGACAAAAGAACTTGTGTTGTGCCTTCTAACTTCACATACTATATTTGGTTGTTTATAGATGTCAGATATAATGACAAACATGCAAAAAATGCATATTGTTTCACTGTTAACAAATAGTTAATATTTTATTATATACATGGTTTTATATGGAACATGCATCTGGGATGCATTCTGCACTTTCATTTTCATTGTTAAAGACTTGCATGATGTCAAAGTGAATCTACTACAGATAAAGCACATTTGTTTTTCGCTATTATAACTATTGGGACAAGTTAGATCTTGGCATGAACTGGGTTCCTTACCACGATTTCAAATAATGAATCTGTTGTTTGAAACATCATTACATGGTTTTTCTTTAGCCAGTAGTTTGCCTTTTCTTATGATCTAATATTCAATAACTTCACCCTGAAAGCAATGAATATATATGGTACGTCTTCTAGAAACTGTAGCGCAACAATAGAGACATGGGGGTTTATTCAAAAAGCTCCAAATTGTTGAAATCTGAATATGATAATTGATCTTTATTTTGACATATACATTTCAATTTGCTGCAATTCAGAAATTAGTGAAAAAGACTTTATTAAAGTATGACTTGGGAGTTTTAAGTGAATTTCTGATTTTAGGCCAAAATAGGCAAACTTTAAACCTAGATGACATGGAGATTTATATATTTTTGTTGGCTGTTGTGGCATAAAAATGCTATATTTGTTTTGAATTCCTTCTTCAATGGATAACTGTGTATGCCTGCTAATTAAAACCTTATCCTACATAAACCGTTAGATTATGAACTTGCAGACAAAACCTGCCGTCTCAAACAACGTCTATTCATTAAACTAGATTTTGCTATTCTATTCCCTCGGTCAAGCACTGACAAATAATTGGAACCATATAAAGAATCGCCCCAACAAATAAAACCTTTAAATGTGCACTGACACATAAGTTTATATGTGTTTACTACATATTTGTATTATATTTTTAAATATTTATTTTATAATGTAACTGACCCAATTTTAGACATTTTTTCAAAGAAATAAAATGTGAAAAAAAAATCTAGCACAAGTTTCTTTTAAGTAACACAAAGTACATGTCTTCAGGGTGACAACAAAAAAATGCATGAATTAAAAAGACATTAAAAATAAATCAAGTCTCAGGAGCGAAATGCGTTGAGTGAAGAAATCTTAAACTTTACAATTAGAGCGCATTTTATTTCAATTTGAAATGATTCATGTGCTTTGCAATTTCAAATATATGTTAATTCAATGGGCTCAGTATTTTAAATAGTGTATTTAATAGCGAATAACTGTATGCAAATTTTTTTTATTTTTTATAATTCTTTATTTTTGTTGTGCACAAAAGTAACATATATCCTTGGTGCGCCACAACGGCGAAATTAGGGTAAATTGGTAAACATTTGCAATACAGGTTGTGGCATTTGTTAGTCAGGCACATTTTTAAGTTAGTTAGATTGTTATTTCAACAGCATAGGTTCTCGTTTACTTAACTATAATGTAAAATTATTACAGTACGATTAGTGTTGTGACCAGATGCTAATTCTTAGGGCAGGCTATTGCGGTTAGACTATTTAATTGCTGAGTATGTAGTAACATGCTAAGCTGCTGCGCCTTAACTGTATGTGGACCTAGAGCGCTTTAAACCATGCTGGTTAAGCCTAGTGTAGTAGTCTACTTGAGTGTATGTACTCCCTGTATCAAAGTTAGTCTAATTAGAGTATGAGGCTTTTCCCATGTAGACTATGGCTGCCAGTGAGGTGATATGAGGCTAGTTAGCCATTTAGTACGAATTAACCTTTTGGTGTATAGAGGAAGTAGTCTACAAGCGATAACCTGGTGCAAGTAGTTAGTAAAGCAGCTGCATAAACATTCAAATTGTATACTAAGACTGCACATGCTAGTTATACAAGGGTATTAATCACAGCTTAAGGAAAGGGGGCAACCAGACATTTTAGTAACTGGGCACTGAGGGTTAGTGGGATCAAGTGGAGTAGGAGACACTTGAACATAAGCATAAATCATGAGATTAAATCACATATAGTAGCTAGAGGGCAGTGCTGTGTGTGAGAGGGAACGTCAGTCTATTGCTCTGGTATATCCAGTGTCCCCCAGTATCCCCTCCCACTCTAGTAAGCTGTTTGGTGGCTGCTAGCAGTGGTCGTGTAGCTAGGTGAGAGCTGGGGTCTTTGCACGTGGAAGTCTGAGGGTGCCTCAGTTTTGGTGCAGCCTCGGTTGTCAGGTGTAGATTATAAGGAATATTAGTATTGCTACTGAAGGAGTTAGGTCCGGCTCTAGCTGATAGTGCCCCTAACCAAGGGGGCTGTGGGGGGAGGGGGGTGAAGTTAGTCGGATATGCAACAGAAGACAAAGAGCACTATAAGAAACCTGAGAAAAAAACGAAACTCGGTTAAAACGGTGTATAGTGATCGCTGCCCAGTGCCGCTCGGTGTCTGTGGTCATGTGATCCCGAGGTGTGAAGGCTACTACTGTGGCTGGCTCCCAGGTATGCGTTCTCCTCCAGTCTCTTGGCTCTCCGCCAGAGGCAGGTAGTCCCAGTGCTCGCAGCAGTGCAGGTGCTTCCTCAGCCGAGGTAATTTTGTGGTCAGTCCCATTGTGGAACACTGTGAGGGTTCTTGGGTTAGTCCATTGGTATTATATTCCTGCGGTTCGTAGTTGACTCATAGCCTGGTGGAGTGTTTTGCGCCATTGCAGGGTGGGCCTTGATAGGTCCTGGTAGAAGGACAGTTCGGCTCCCTCAAATGTGTAAGGCATTTTGTTTCGCAGAGCTGAAAGGAGTGCCTGTTTATCTTGGGCTAGGGCGCAGCGTACTATGATATCACTCATGGCATTCAGTGGGGCCCTTGGTGATTTTGGCAGGTGGAACATGCCATCAAAGGTAAGCTTTTTGGCTTGTGTTGGCGGCATTAGTGAGGCCGTTAGGCGTCTCATGTAGTGGGGCATTTCTGCCCTGGTGACATACTCAAGTACCCCTCTTATCTTCAGGTTATTACGTCTGCAGGGGTCTTCCAGTGTGGCTAGGTGTGCAGAAAAGGCTTGTTGTGTTTTTTGGGCATTTTGGACAGAGTCCTTTATATTAGACATTTCCTGCCTCACCTCTAGGATATCCTCTTCGGTGGCTCTCACCCTGTCTATAACCGCTTGCAGGTCAGCCTGGATGACTGCTATGTCTGTGGCTAGCGTCTGGTGCAATTCAGTGAGGTAGTTTTTAATGTCCTGCTTGGTGGCCAGGGCTGAGAGATCAGGGGGGCCTGCCGTTGTTGTCTCTGGTGTATGTAGCAGGGTGTGGGCTTGGGGGTGGTCAGGTGAGAGATCAGCGGGGGCCTCCTGATGCTCTGGGGCCGCTATTTTATGTAGGGCCTGGCGCTGTAGCATTGCCATGATGTTTGGGGTTTTGCTTGGTGTACCTTGCAGGGGTTTCTGCGAGCGTCTCCCCATGTTTGAGGGCTGCTTGGCTGGTAGGATGTTCTCTGTGCTCCAGTCTTCAATACAGTCTGTCTGTGGAGGGATGCACCCAAATAGATCTTCCAGGCGTGCAGGGAGATGGTAGGCCGCTGTCTTTTTCCGTCGTCGGTTTTGTCCGGAATTGGCAAAGAACGGCATGTGCCGACTCCGGGAGTCACCAGCTTGGAGATGCTGGTCTGGATTGAGTCGCATGGGTGTTGTGCTTCGTGATTTTCGGCAGATTGTGCAGGACGCCGTCAGAGCTGCAGGAAATGGCGTCCGCTTTGTTCCGCGGTTAAGCCCCGCCCCCCCTGTATGCAATTTTTAATGGCAATTTAGCAATGAAAGGTCAGATTTTAAATGCCTTTTTTACTCACGTAAAATAATTCGTAAATTCATTAAACAATCTAGAACTAGCATAAATATACTTTGACTGCACAGTTCAGTAAAGGGTTCTAAATCTATTAATAAAACTCAGTAAAGGGTTATTCACTGAACACAGGATATGGCCATAATGGACAAAATCCAGTGAAAATTATCGCATTCCAACCGCATTGGCAATTCGAAGATTTAGCAAAGCCAATTCCGGTCAGAATTTGATCGGTCCGACTAGATTTTAAGATGAATTCAGTGTCCAGATTAAAATCGGTGCTTTCGCATTCAAATCCTATACAAAGTATAGGATACAGAAGATTCACAAAGCACCAATTTTAACAAAATTCTAAACCAAATGCTGCCGATTGCAGCCACCGGACAAATAGTTTAAAAACCCTTGGCGGCACAAGGGTTAATTATATGGTAGTTGGCTAGTGCTTGCTAGCCAGCCGCCACATTAAATAGCTTAATAATTCAATAAATAGGAAGCCTAAGGGGGTCAATAAAGGAGGTATTTCATCTCTCTGTGCCCTTTATCTGTCATTCTGCTTGTGGGGGCATGCATAATACATTTTTAAACCCAACAACTGGGTAGTCATTGCTGCCCAGTTGATAGAAAGGGGTCAGCAAATAAGAGGGGAAGAGAGTTCCCCCCTTTGAGGATCAGGTGAGGACTTTAAAATAAGTAATGGAGAGTGGACAGTAATCTTTTCTTCAGCCCCAACAAAAGCCAAGTTAAAATTGATAACACAATAAAATGAATGAAAATTTAAAAAAAAGATTCCAAAACTCGAACTTTAGTAAATAGCTCCGAAAGACATTGACCTAAAAACTTACATGTCGCACATATCAGTCTGTTACTCATTGTTCAAAATGTAACATTTTTAGCTATATATTTATGTTATGACAATCTACTGCCTTCTAATTTTACGCTATTTTTATTTGGAGACATCAAAAATCTGACAATATTTAAAAGAAGGTCTAAGCACAAGAAATAACTTATACATAGGCATAGTACAGGATGCTAGAGAATATCAATACGTCAATTGAGATGGATGAAATAGAATTTGCAATAAACAAGTAAATTGAGAATATCATAGAATGAAGAATTATGAGCAATAACCCTGTGTTGTAGTGAGGTCTTCAAAGTTTTTAGGATTTTTTTCAAACATAAAACCAATACGAAAAATTTTTCTAATTAAAGGTTAATAGCAAAGACAAGAATGTGTAAAAACGGGAGGATAAAACTGAAGGATTACAAAAACCAGAGGTTTACTCTATATAGCACCTGATGAATATACCATGTGGTAGTTTCTAAGCTTTCCTTAATAGGGGATTGCAATTGGGCACCTAAAGAGGAGATGTAAGGTCTCCACATAGGGAAGAAGGATTAGTGCTTTCCTTTTTAATTGTGCTTTATATCAGCCAAAAAGCAATAGACCCCTGTAGAGTAAAATCATTACTGTTTGCAATTCATTTAAAATGTGTTTAACAAAAGGTGAAAATTGACTTGCAATTATCTTGCTTTACATAGAGTTAATTAGGAGGATTATTTAGAGGCATCTCACACATTTTACATGTGTTACAAAGGGTGTAGATTGTATTGTTTACTATGTCTAGCAGTAAGACAAAGTCATCGGTCTTCATTAACACTCCCTCCCATGCATTTGTAATGGAATCCTAATGAAGTAGTGGTATGTAGCCAGATGTCTAAAGAAAAAAAAAAACAGGACAAAGACACATTGTTTGGTGAGTGTTTTATTAACACAAATAATTTAAAATTAGCCATCATAATGCACAAAGTTACCGGTCGGTAAAATCTTGTATCTGAAAGTAAAATATAACAGTATTATTTTTAAAGTCATATCAATAGACCACAGGCTCTAACAGGTCTCATCTCTAAACCATTATATTTTGTGCCATACAGCACTGGGTGATGTAAGCATTTATAAGGAAAAATAAACCAATAATAATAAATATATCTCTTTAAACAAAGTCAAAGTCAGCCATGGTTTTTTCAGACGTAGATAGATAGCCTTCGTAATGATGAACATTAAAGATTGGTAAAGGTATTAGAGGTTCTCCAAGTAGGTATCACCAGTGTCGACCACAGTTTCAAGTGCGGACATTGACAAAATAGCTCATTTCTGGAATGACAGGCGCAAGTAACTGGTAAATCCTTTGAGCCGTTTTACGAAAACAAACCTTATTAATATAAATCTGTGCATATTGTCCTGGTAAATGTTAATACTATTGAATTTGTGTGAACTTAAATACGCAAGAAATGCACACATTTGTTTTGCTCACATGCATTCGTACCCTACATTTGAATTGAAAACTCGGAATGGCATACAGCTGCTTTGAGCAATAAAATTGTATTTGTAAAGCATTAACAACTAATTCTCGAGTGTTTTTGTTCCATATTTCAAGTATCAAATCCATTTGCAGGGGATATAAAAGTACTAGTGCCCAGGTGTTGGTTGGCATTCCAAATAAATGCAGCAATCCCCGACACGTTGCATCTGCATTCATTAACCTTAGTCTAGAGCTAATTCCTGCTCTTCAGGGTGTTTTCAAGATTAATCCATTCAAGATTATCCTCGTAAATGTTTCCAAATAGCAGTGCTCCTTGCTTGCTACCACTTTAGTTGAACATGATTGATTCAGGGTCCTGGTTTGCCATTTGAGCCATATGCCTCAAAACATCTTTCTTTGTTATAATTCCCAAAAGCCTCCTGTAAGAAACACACAGAAAAAAAAGTAAGGATCGTTTGCACACAGATCATTACATTTTATTTTATTATGCAAGTGGTTCCAGCAAATCACACCATTAGAGTCCCTCTGCTTTTGTAAAACAGCAAGCAGCTTAAAATAAAAAAACCTTACAAAAAAGTGCTTTTAAAAAAAAAAAAATCTAATTTTCTGGGAAACACAGCAGATGTGATACTAAAATGACTGAACGCATTATTATCCACACATCTTAAGTATTCACCCTTCTCGTGGCAGGTCAAGCATGGCATTTAATATAGATTTGTGATAAAAAAAAATTGTTGGTGTTGATTAAGATGATTTCCCACGGATGATATTAGATAGTACAGTTAACACAAACAGGAAGATAGACATTGGTATTTTATAACATTCATTTGCTGTAGCATTTAGCGCCACAGTTTGTGAACATTTTTTTTCCCCTAAAAGCTGGGAAAAATCTGATGAGCTCTTGCTCTTGGGCCTTTATAACCTCTGTGAAAAAAAACAAAAACATAACTTTCATGAGACCCACAAAAAAAAAAAAAGTCTACCAAAATAGGATATTGAGGCAATAACTGCTGACCTATGTCAGACAGTATTTCTTAAATTATAAGAGACTCTGCAAATGATTAAGCTTATATATATATGTTTATATATGTTTATAGCAAGGATTCTAATTCTTGCTGGCACTTGTCAGACATATTGCGCTAGGAATCAAGGTGTTACAATATAATGTTAAGTAAATTAGGTACGATTAATGCTTTTTTTATTACCATTCTTTCTCCCCATCTGGGAGTCATGGGGTTCGGAGGCATAGCAAAGTCATGAGGCACTCGGATTTCACATAGCCGCATGCCCCCGACAGGTTGTAGTCAACTGGTCTAGTATTTTTTTAATAATGGTAATAATAATGATATGAAATACAATCCCAAGGTTAGTTAAATGAATACTCATTCGATTCGTACAGTATATAATCTCTATCCCACTCCCTACTTTACTTTCTCCTGGCCTTGTACCCTTACTGTGGACAGCTGGGGTGCATATGGTCTCTCCTCCTCAATACAGACTGTGTGGAACTCACACAGCAGTCACACGGGAAGTTGTTTCTAGCACATGGAAATGTTTAAGACCAGGAGCAATGTGGCGGAAAGACAGTGTAAAGAATTATGCGGGCATCACACCAATACATGCAATGCAACGCAGAATAACTTGTGGGCTTGTTGGGAAATCTGCGGATATCTCCAACTGGACCATAACTGCTGCCCATATGCAACCAGTGCCTGGTTGCTCTGGGCCTTTGGTCCATGACAAAAGTGGCAGGGTGGTCAGTCTGCCACTGACCATGCCGTGCATGTGTTATGATGCAACTGCTCTCTGATGCCAGTGTAATGCCAGCTGATCCTGTGGCACCCATCAGACCAGCACACAGGAACAACTGCCCTCTCTGACTACGTAAGGGTTTGATATGCTTACTGAAGCGCAGTTTTTCCATAGACGTCAATAGATTAATTGCTATTCAATAAACAGAGTATATCCTTACTCTGCTGAGAGAATCCCCTGAATTTGATCTGCCTTTGAGCTTCAGGTTGCTTTAAAAAGCTACCACAAATGGCAGAGGCTTATGTTTGAGTCTCATGTATAAATCAAAGTCTAATGCATTGTTTTAACCAATTATAGGCTAAAGACTTAAAATATGACATCTAATTGTGGCTCTGTGGGCAGTTGCCCTGATCCCAATTGAGACAGTGCCAAATTATATTTATATATGCTAGGATTGTGGGTTGTCACATAAGTCATCTAGAAAGTTGCTTTGGCGAACGTTATCTTTGAGGTTTAGGAAGTAATGTTCAGGTAAGTAAAGCATAACTGTAAGCTATAAATTTACTGGAGATTTCAGAGGACTAATGCATAGTTTAAATGTATACCTACCCAAAAAAAAAAAAAAACACTGTTGTAAAAATGTCAGCCCAATGCATTGTTTAAATGAATGCCTACATAGAAAAACAATGTTATACAATTTAAGGATGGCAGGCACA